TGAATTTATTGTGCTGCAGTCGACCAAATCCATACAAATCCATACAAATCCATACAAATCCATACAAATCCATACAAATCCATACAGATCAATACAAATCACAATCAATGGGGAGGGGGGCACCGTGTGACCCCAAAACCCACCAGCCCCCCTGGAGCTGGTGCTTTCCCTGCTCCCCCCGGGGTGGGTTTGGTTCCTGGGGGGCACCGGGGGTCCCCAGGCAGGGCTGGGGGTGCAAGCGGTGCCCCAACCCCCGTCCCCATCCCTGACCGCCCGTGTCCAACCCCCCTCTCCCCTCCTGTGACCCCCCCATTCCTCCCCAGACCCCGCAGCCACTGCTGTGCCCAGACCCCAAAACTCCCCCGGCCACCCAGAGACCTCATGGGGATGTGACAGCACCCTGGGTGTCCCCTGTGCCCCCCAAAGGGACGTGACAACGCCCTGGGTGTCCCCTGTGCCCCCAAAAGGGACGTGACAGCACCCTGGGTGTCCCCTGTGCCCCCAAAAGGGATGTGACAGCACCCTGGGTGTCCCCTGTGCCCCCCAAAGGGACGTGACAACGCCCTGGGTGTCCCCTGTGCCCCCAAAAGGGACGTGACAGCACCCTGGGTGTCCCCTGTGCCCCCAAAAGGGATGTGACAGCACCCTGGGTGTCCCCTGTGCCCCCAAAAGGGATGTGACAGCACCCTGGGTGTCCCCTGTGCCCCCAAAGCCGGGGGTTCCCCCTGCTGGCCCCTTCGTGGAGGGTGCCAACCTTAGGGGGTATTCCCTAAGGACCAGCCCTGCCCGTGGCATCTCCGGGTGCTGCTGGCAGAAGGAAGAGCCGGAAGGGCTTCCCAGCCGTCCCAAAAAATAAATACAACGTCCTGCGCCGCGTCCCGCCGGGCCCGGCCCCGCCCGCGCGGCCCCGCGGGGTCCCTGCTCCCCCCGCCGTCACCGCAGGACCCCGAGGGCTCGCCGTGGGAACAGTCTGGAGGAGGGGGAGGGTCCGGGGGTCCCGCGGGGGCCGTGGGGGGACACCTCCCCCTCCCCTATTGCAGCAGCTTCGGCAGCTCCACCTGTGGGGAGGAGACCCCGTTACTGGGAGCACTGGGATGGGGGGAATGAGGGGATGGGCCCCTTCCTCCCGCGGCTCCGGGGACGTCCAGGGCAGGGGGGACTGGGGGGAAATTCTTCCCTGGGAGGCTGGGGAGGCCCTGGGATGGATTTTCCAAAGGATGCACCATCCCTGGAAGTGTCCAAGGCCAGGCTGGATAAACTTGGAGCAACCTGGGATAGTGGAAGGTGTCAGGGTGGGAACTGGATGAGCTTTGAGGTCCCTTCCAACCCAAACCATTCCAGGACTCCAGAAAACTTGGAGCGGAGTGGTTTGCCCTTGGAGCAGCTGGTACAGGTCACTGTTCCTAAAAGAGTTAGAGAGGGGGCTTGGGACAAGGGATGGAGTGACAGGACACAGGGAATGGCTTCCCACTCCCAGAGGGCAGGGATAGATGGGATATTGGGGAGGAATTCTTCTCTGGGAGGGGCTGGGATGGAATTCCCAGTGAAGCCATGGCTGCCCCATCCCTGGAAGTGTCCAAGGCCAGGTTGGAGCAGCCTGGGATAGTGGAAAGTGTTGGAATTGGAACTGGACGGTCTTTAAGGTCCCTTCCCATCCAAACCATCCTGGGATTCCATGAGCTCCTTCCCTTGGCCACGCTGGTTGTCCCCACACTCCAGCCCGAGGACAGGGACACAAAACCCCGGGAGTGAGGGAGGTGTTCCAGGGCTCCCTGTTGGGATCAGCATTGGAGATGCAGCTTCTCCCACCTCCCACCCCAGGGCTGCGGCTCAGCTGGGCAGCAGGAGCTATGGATGGCTCCTTCCTGGTGCCCCAGCCCCTGGATCCATGCCAGGAGCTCTGCCAAGGGATAGATCTGCCCCTTTGGTGCTCTGCAAAGGGTTGGATCTCCTCCTGCTGGATGCTCTGCCAAGGGATGGATCTGCTGATCCCATCTGGATCTGCTGATCCCACCTGCCCTAAAAGGGATGCTAAAGGATTCCTTTGGCCCCCCATGTCCTTGGCAGAGGGATGGATCCCCCTGCACAGGGTTTGGGACCCCCGTGCCCGTGTCTGGTTGGGACCACAGACCCCTCATTCTGGAGGACAACCCTCCCCTCTCCACTGCCCGAGTGACAACACCCTCACCCTCACCCCTCACCCAGAGCCCACCCCCCAAAAACGGGCCCCTCCGGAGCCCCCACTTGCCTTCTTGAGCTGTTTGAGGTTGCTGGAGCGAATGGCTGCCAGGAGCTGGTCCCGCGAGTTCTTCTCCTGTGCCGGCAGCGCCCGGTCCCCCAACTTCCTCTGCGTGGCTGGGGACAGCGAGTTCCGCAGGTTCTCGTTGATCAGGGGTGGGGCGAGCGGAGGGGGCGGCGGGGGCGGCGCCGCGGGGGCCCCCCCTGCCTTGGGGGAGCTCTTGGGGGAGGCCTTGGGCGACGGCTGCGGGGACGCCTTGGGGGACCCCTTGGGCAGCGCCCCGGCCTTGGGCACCTGCAGCAGGTCCTTCTTCTCGCCCCTCTCCTGCGCCAGCTTCTGCTCCTGCAGGCGCCGCTGCCGCTGCCGGTCCATGTTGCGGCTCAGCAGGTTGGTGACGGTCATGCGCGGCCCGGCCAGCTCGAAGTGGTAGCCCAGCTTGAGCAGGGTGGTGTTCTCCTTGAGCAGCTTGGCAATCTCCATCTCAGTCTTGCCGCCGCAGATGTGCCGCTGGTTGTGGAAGCGCAGCTCGGTCAGGGTGTCGTTCTGCAGCAGCGCTCGGAAGATGGCCAGGATGCCCTTGCCCGTGATGTGGTTGGAGTCCAGGTTGATGCTGGTCAGCACCTTGTTGGACTTGAGCATGATGGAGATGGCAAAGGCCACGTGGTCGTCAGCGCGGGTGTTGGCCAGGGCGAACACCTTGACCACGGTGTTGAACTCCAGGGCCTCGGTGAAGCGCACCAGGGTCTCATTGTTGATGCAGTCGGAGTTGTTGACATTCACCTCGGTCACCTCGGCGTCGTTGTTCTTCACCTTCTCGATGAGCTCGTCGAAGATGCTCGAGGCCTCGTCGTCCTTGGGCGGCTCCGCGGCTTTGGGGGGTCCCGCCTTGCCCTCCCGCTTCTCCGCCGCCGCCTCTTCTGCCTCTGCCCGGGGTTTCTCCTTCTCCTCCACCCTGGCTGTTTTCCCAGCTGAACCCTTTTCCTCTTCTTTTTTTTCTTTGTCTTTCTCCCCTTCCCCTCCCGTGGCTTTCTCTGCCTGTCCCTTTGGTTCTGAGCTCTTCTCCTCCTCCTTTTTGTTCTTCCCTGTGTCCTTCTTGGATGCTGAAACCTTTTCTTCCTTTTTGTCCTTCCCTGTATCCTTTGCTGCTGAGCCCTTCTCTTCTTCCTTTTTCTCCTTCCCTGCATCCTTATTCTTTACATATGAGCCCTTCTCCTCCTTTTTATCCTTCCCTGCCTCCTTCTTCAATGCTGAGCTCTTCTCTTCCTCCTTGTGGTCCTTCCCTGTGTCCTTCTTCAGCACTGAGCCCTTCTCTTCCTCCTTGTCCTTCCCCATCAGCTTTTTCTCCATGGCTTTCACTTTATCGTTCATGGCTTTGTTCTCTTTGCTCTTGGGCTCAGGCTCAGCTTTACCTTTGGGCTCTGTTTTCTGAACACTTTCCTCCTTTTTGGAGTCTTTGCCCACTTTGGGGTCTCGTTTCTGGGCCAGGTCTTTGGGGGGAGTTTCCTTTCCCTTTTCTTCTTCATTTTTGTCTCCTTTGCTCTCGCTCAGCCTGGTTTCCTAAAGAGGGAAGAACACCTCGGAGTTACAGAGACAGGAGTTTCCCACCCCAGTCTCAGTGCCCCCAGGCCTGCCCCTCCATCCCATGGGAGTGTCCTGGAGCCTTGGGAAGCGGAATGTTTGACGCAGCCAAGGCTCCAGGGAAGGGTTCCTCAGAGCCCCGTGCAGCTCTCCAGGGCACCTCTGCTCTCCTGCTGCCTCCAGCCCCTTCCCGAAGGGCTCCAGAGCTCCAGAGTTGTGTCCCATGGGAACCCACTGAGCTGCAGGAGGCCCCTCTTGTCCCACCTCCTGTGAGTTCTCCTTGTTTGAATCCCCTTCCCAACCAGGGCTGGATTTAGTGCCCATCCCCCTGTGACCCCAGGTGCTTTCCCACCTTTCCCAAGGGTTTTCCAGCTGGATTCCCTGTGGGTTTGCCCAGTTTGGAGCCCAACACTCCCCACACCGGCCTGGCCACGTGTCAGGCAGGGGAGAAGCCACAGCCAGGGACACGGGTGACACTGCTGTCCCCAGCCCTGGGCTCCCCAAAATCAGCCCTCTGATGGCATCAGGTTATCACTGAGCAAAAAACCAAGGAAATGGGGACATGGAATTTCTTGCTTGTAACGCCTGAAGTTCTCCCAGCACAATCTGCTCCTGGTGTCCAAAGGCAGAGGAGGAGGGAAGGGCTGAGCTGGGAGGGTCTGGGAGAAGGGCAGAAGGAATTCCTGGTGATTTTTCCAAGTCCCTGACCCTTGGCATAGCCTGTCCTGGGTGCTGCTGCTGGACACAGCCAGCACCAGCAGCTCTGGGACACGGCAGGGAGACCTTGGAGCCCCTTCCAGGGCCTAAAGGGACTCAGGAGAGCTGGAGAGGGACTGGGTACAAGGGATGGAGGGACAGGACACAGGGAATGGCTTCCCACTGCCAGAGGGCAGGGATAGAGGGGATATTGGGAAGGAATTCTTCCCTGGGAGGGTGGGGAGCCCCTGGAATGGATTTCTCAGAGGATGCCCCATCCTTGGAAGTGTCCAAGGCCAGGCTGGAGCAGCCTGGGATAGTGGGAGGTGTCCCTGCCCATGGCAGGGGTGGAATGGGATTTAAGGTTCCTTCCAAGCCAAACCAGTCTGGAATTCTGTGGGACACCCCCACTCCCCCGGAGAGGAGCCAGTGCTCCCAACAGGTCCCTGAAGGCAGAGGAATCCCTGACATCCCTGGGATCAAAGCTGCTGCACAGAGAAGGATCTCACCGTAAATTGCAGTTTAACCCCTTCCCTGCTCCCCGACCCGGGAACACACCGGCCCTGCCCCTCCCCCCCGGCCTGCAGGATCCTGGGATTCCCGGGAAAGGAGGAGAGGCAGGTGATCCCTCCCTGGACCCTCTCAGGGGCAGGACAGCACTGTGGCTTCATCCAGGGCCTGGAACCCCCAAATCCAAGTCCAAACACCCCAGTGTGCAGCTGGGCTGGTGTCCTCCTCCTCCTCCTCCTCCTCCTCCTCCTCCTCCTCCTCCTCCTCCTCCTCCTCCCCATCCCCATCCCAGGGCTCCACGGTGTCCATGCTGGGGCATCTCTGCCTTTCCAAAACCCGGCTCTGCTGGCCCTCAAGGCCTGGTTTTTGTGGAGAGAACAGGCTGGGCTGTGGCCAGGGCAGCCCTGGGCACTGTCTGTGCCTGGGGGATAAACAGATGCCACTGGGGAAGTGTTTGTTTAGTTAAGAGATTTCTTGGCTCCCCTGCAAGGACGGAACAGGCACCAGAGGGAACGTGCCAGACCCCCCCAGTCCAACCCCAGGGACAGGGATGGGGCTCCCAGGGATGTCCTGGGGGCTGCAGGAGCAGGGGATGCCACTGGGTGGGTCCTTCCCACCGAGACATTCCCAGAGCTGGGGTGGAACCTGCACCCTGGGGACAGTGCCCAGGTTGTCACCCCCGGGCAGTGGGGACACTCCTTCCCCCTGCCCCGGGACCCCAGGCCAGGCTGCGCCCTCTCCGCAGCCATCCCTGCCTGCTCCCGGCTGGAATATTTCCCCTGGATCTCTGGAAACCAGCGCCCTCCCGCTCCATCCCCAGTGCCACGGGCGCAGCTGGGAGGGAATGTTTTTCCCCGGCGGGTCAGACCTTCACAAATAAAGCCGAACACAAACAGGCCGGGCCGGGCCGATGAATCACCCGGGTTGGGTGACCCCAAATGCCCCCTGGCCCTTCCCAGCCCTCCCCGGCCCTCTGCGGCTCTGAAGCCCTCAAAGCCTCAAACCTCCCGATGTTCCCTTAAAAGGCAAAGGAGACTCGAGAACTTCTTGTCTGGAATCCGAGGGCTCTGAGCGGGGCCGGGATGGGGATGGGGATAGAGCCGGGAATGGGGACGGAGCGGTGGGAGGAGACCGGGGGGTGTCTGGGATCTGCCCTGAATGACACGGCTCATTTTAGGGTGGAAAAGGGAAGGGAAGAGAAGGTTTGGGAAGGGAAGGTTTGGGAAGGGAAGGTTTGGGAAGGGAAGGTTTGGGAAGGTTTGGGAAGGTTAGGGAAGGTTAGGGAAGGTTAGGGAAGGGAAGGGAAGGGAAGGCAAGGCAAGGCAAGGCAAGGCAAGGCAAGGCAAGGCAAGGCAAGGCAAGGTAAGGTAAGGCAAGGCAAGGCAAGGCCACGGAGATGCTCCAAAGGCTGGAGCCCCTCTGCTCTGGAGCCAGGCTGGGAGAGCTGGGAATGTTCCCCTGGAGAAGAGAAGGCTCCAGGGATACCTTGGAGCCCCTTCCAGGGCCTAAAGGGGCTCCAGGAGAGCTGGAGAGGGACTGGGGACAAGGGATGGAGGGACAGGAGACAGGGAATGGCTTCCCACTGCCAGAGGGCAGGTTAGATGTGATATTGGGAAGGAACTCTTGGATGGGAGGGTGGGGAGGGGCTGGAATCAGTTTCCCAGAGGATGCCCCATCCCTGGAAGTGTCCAAGACCAGGTTGGACGGGGCTTGGAGCAACCTGGGATAGTGAGAGGTGTCCCTGCCTGGGGCAGGGGTGGGACTGGATGGGATTTGAGGTCCCTTCAACCCAAACCATTCCAGGATTCCATGAGGAGTCCCGGAGGCTCCTTCCTGAGGTCCCTGCTGGGGACACGTGTGGAACTGCCCCCCAGGGAGGAGAAGGGAGTGTCAGCAGAACATCCCAGAACCCCTTGACCTGCAGTCCTAGTAGTGACTCCATCTCCAGTGTCATGGGATCACTGAGGTTGGAAAAGCCCTCCCAGCCCATGGATCCCCCTGTGCTCAATCCCTACCTTGTCCCCCAGCCCAGAGCACTGAGTGCCACGTCCAGGCCTTCCTTCCAGGGGTGGGGACTCCAAACCTCCCTGGGCAGCCCCTTCCCATGCTTTACAGCCCTTTCCAGGCAGGAATTTCCCTAATATCCAACCTGACCCTCCCTGGCTCAGCCTGAGGCCGTTCCCTCTCCTCCAGTCCCTTGTTCCCTGGGAGCAGAGCCCGACCCCCCCTGGCTCCCCCCTCCTGTCAGGGAATTCCGGAGGGAGAAGGTCCCCCCTGATCCTCCTTTTCCCAGGCTGAGCCCCCCCAGTTCCCTCAGGGCTTCTCCAGCCCCTTCCCAGCTCCCTTCCCGGCCCTGGACACGCTTCCAGTGGCCTCTGGAAGCCGAGGGTGGGACTTCAACTCCCAGCTGTGGGACTTCCCCTTCCAGCTGTGGGACATCCCCCTGGGATGGATCTCCGGGAGCACCAGGGGGGAAAACTGAGCCAGGATCAGCCCCATCCCGACCCTCAGCTGGGAAATCCGGGCTCACCTCCAAGGAGGGGATTTCTGACCATGCCTGGAGCCACCAGAGCCCAGGACCCTTCCCTGGGACCCTCTGCCTCCCTCCTCTCCAGCACATTCCCACGTTGGCCACTTGGCATGTGGATGTGGCCACCAACAGACACCCTGTGCTCCCTGCAGAGCAACCAGAGTCCCCCCGGGGCTGCAGGGTGGGGACAACCCCTAGCCGAGGGCTCATCCCTCTCTCCCAAGCTCTGCTGGGATAACAAATTCCTCCTGCAGCCAAGGGGACATTCCCAGCTCATCCCTCGGCAGGACTGGGCTGGGACAGCAGGTCCCACTTGGATCCCGGGGGGATTGGAGTGGGAGAGCAGGGGAGGGGGGAGGCCCAGGAGCGGGGGGAGAGCTCACCCAGATCTGGGGGTCAGAGGGGGTTCCCAGCCCAGACTGGCGAGGGAAGGCAGTGGGTTGGGGTTGGGAACAGTTCTGCATCTCTGCCTGTCTGGGTCACTGCCCAGGAGGTTCAGCCCATCCTCCAAGAGTGTCCTCAGAATCTCCAGAGCCACCACGAGGCTCAAACTCACAGCTCCAACCTTGGCCATCACCCTCCGGAGTCACCTCCCTCCCATCACCCTCCGGATTCACCTCTCTCCTGCTGCACTCCAGGGACCCCCAGGGCCCCTCTGTCCTCCCCCCGAGGCCCCGAGGGAGGCAGCAGCACCCCCACCCCCCCCCCGGCGGGACCCCAGGGTTGGGAACAAGCCACAGGGGAGCTCCTGGGGACAGGAATGTCCCCCAGGGCTGTCCCACCCCCCCGAGGTGCCCCGGGGGGGGGGTGTTGCAGGTTGTTTGGGGTCCCTGGGGGTGGTTCCCACTCCTGTTCCGCTCCAGCCATAGCAGAGGGGGGTTAAAAATCAATTCACATCCAAACAAACCATCCGAGTTGCTCCTTCCCTGCGTCCCTCGGCCAGCTGGGAGGAACTCAGGGACAACTTGGAGCCAAGGACATTCCAGGAAAGAATTCCATGTCCTTGGCCGAGTCTCGGGAGCTGCTGGACCTGCAACGCCGGAGACCACCAGGAGCGGGTCCCTGAGATCCTGCTGAGCCTGGCACGGACAGGGATGGGGACTCCTGCCCTTGAGCTGGGGACAGACTGACCCTGGCATAGCCAGGACACCCCTCAGCTGGGGACAGACCCCTCGGGGTGTCCTGAGAGCCCCCTCCCACCTTGCAGTGTCCCCCCTATTCCCAGGCAGCCAAGAGGGTCTCC